ATATAAAAATACGACGAATGTTTGCAGACTCCACAAACATTTCATCTTGATGGCTTTGCAGGCGAATTTAAATTCAGTAATCATTTCAGTATGTTAAAATTGTTCTTCCACATGTTGTTCTTGTCGCTGTTGTGTGCCTGTATGCCGTTGCTGGTGCATGGATTTTCTACAGTCTTGAATCGCCGCATGAAGATAAGGTTTGTTCAAAGGACGTTGCCCTGACCTGGAATTTTTTGGCAGTGGTGAGATCTTCTGACTTGATATTTCGAAAACATGGAGAAGTTCAAAACTTCTCTGCTTGATCAATATCTCTTCAGATTGTAATTAAAAACGAAATCGGGATGGCCACCATGTTTCGCGTTCGTAGGCAAAAAGTAGCAATGATACAAGATTTTTACAGTGCTATCTTATTGGTGATCCCAACGTCTGTTCATCTCCATCATTTCAAAGTTTTTCGGGAAAAAACATTTAAGATTTCAGCTATATAGTGTCTTTGGCACTGTCGTCTCGTTTTCAATGTGCTACTCACAGTAGTACCTTATCGAAAGCGAATAATATGTTGGTAGGCGTTCAAATTTCGGCGTGAAATTTTTTGTTGCAGCTGAAAAAAATTGGAGTGCAAAGTATCAAGGAGCTGCGAAAAGAATTGGTCCAGGTGCTGTGGTCAAAGCGTGATCAGATGAAGACAGCAGGGATGCACAGCTGGACACGGCTGACCGATACAAAACTCCAAAAATTCAATGAATATTTGTACAAAGCCTTTAAGGAGCAATACGTAAGGCTCGTAACATTTGCTTCTCATCAATAAAATAAAACCAAAATTCTTCCTGAATTTGTCTTTTAAGACAAATAAAAACATTTTTGTAATAGCCCGGTTGATAGCAAATGCTCGCAACAACGACAAGCTGGCAGGACTGTCGACAGTCCCCTCATTTTGAGGGCAATTTGAAAGCAAGCTGATGGCAGGTTTGACTTCCTCACATCAAGTTACTATCGAAACGAATGAATGAATCGAAAAGTGACTGATTGTTCCACGATTGGGATTTGACCACTGACCTTGGCAGAGTACGTCAATGTATTTTGAGCTTGGAGCTGCAAAGTTTGTACTTCAC